CATGTGACATTAGTGACATAATCGAATCGGTTAGTAACGACTATAATCGATTTACAAGTATCGATTCACAAGTAATTACTATGCAGTAGTAAATGTTCGCAAAAAAAGCCCCGTTTCCTGCAACAAAATCGAGTTTTAGACGGGACATGATTTAAAAACCGCTTAATAATATTCATGTCACAAATTTACATAATCAATTTCAATTGAGTAATTAGATTTCGAGATCAAAATGAAGAAATGGCGTTAACACATATATCAAAGTTACTGCCTCTATTAATTTCCTCCGGGACTGAAACTAATTTTGAATATTTTTCTTTGGCATTTAAGCGAAACTTAATTACAGGTGAGTAGATAACAGATAAGCTATAAGTTTGGATACCATTAATTAGTAGAAAGTCCATCATGTATCGATTAAAACACGAATCGATTAAACTGAATAAAAGTATAAGAAATTTTCCGAGAAAATTCTGATGTAGTTCTCGCACTACAAAAGCCAATCCTGCTGCTTTAGTAGATTTATTCCGACATTTAGAGGTTATATGAAGCCCGAAATACCGCCCAAAGGCTTTTACTTCATAAGAAAATGCATTATTCTCTTGCATAAAAATTTTATTCACTACACTTTTCTTATAGTGAAACTACCAACATGTATTTTATTGTAGTAAATGCAAACGATTTTTTCGCCAAATATGTAGATAAAACTCTTATTAAAGCGTAAGAAATAACCCTGGCATTTCAAAGATTTAGTTCAGTAAAGTATTTTGTGATATCCAGCATTGGAAAGTTCGATGGCTGGAAACCGGAAAGGAAAAAGGCAGATTCGACTGTATGAATGATAGATGATCTACTCCTCCACTTTTATATCTTTGTTTGATAAATTATTCTATAGTTTATAGACCGCAAGGAATGATATTTCAAATATTTCGACGTTAAGCTTGCCCAGTCTGGGGCACAAAATGATGTTATCAATCTAATGCACAATTCTTTGCTACAAAATTGTATCCACCACAGCATTATTAACTATTAATTAATAACTATACTACATCTAGTATAAACTGGGAAAAAAATTTCACAAGGTCCAGGTCTAGTATACACCAGCTGGAAATAGATTTTTAACATTCAGGTCGGGGCTTAGGGGTATCCAAAAGACCTGCATTCACGTTTTCGAGATTACTTTAAAGCCGAGGAAGGCCGGGCTCGCTCTAAGCTTATTAACTCTAACGGAGGAAAATTTTATTCGATAGAATAAGATAGGGAGAATGGAGATTGTACCTCCACACCTGGTGCTCCCCAGCCAGTTTACCTATTAGGGAATTCTAATAAAACAGAGTGGGTTCGAAGTAGACGGGCATTAAACAGTTTAAAATGCAAGTAAGTTAGAAACGGGTTTTGTTCGTGATGTTGTATATCAAATTATCAAGCATACGTGAGTATAAAATAAAAACATACAGCTTTTTTGAACCTTTAAACGAGGCCATTTCGCTGAACAGGAAATGAAAACATTCCACCAAGCTGGTCATTTTTTTCGGACATTAACCGACGAATTTGCCGGTTGGAGATGAGTTTTTGTTGTGTAGGATGAGCGAATGTAATTGGGACGAGTCATTATGCAAACAATTTATGCGATTATTCATTCCAATTTAATTTTAGCTTCGAATTCCGTTTGCATACACCTAAACGAAACTCCGAATTATCGTTTAGATAAAGCCAGTGGAGCTTTTTAAATCGGTATAATTCGAATATTAGCTATTCACGAACAACTAAACCGGCGTTATTCGGTGTTGTATGATAGGCGAAGGTACCAGTTAAATCCGATTACTGGTCGCACGAATAAATTCGAATGTCTTTTGGCTATCTATCACGAATTTAACGGGCGTTCCATTTCTACTATTTACGCTTCTAGAGACGTTTCTAATGATTGAGGTGTTTGAGCGGGATGTGAGCGAAGCTGCGGATGGTTTACAGGATGGAGCTAAACATGGTGGATAGATTTATTAGTTGAGATTTTTGTAAAAAAATATTGTAAATAGGTTGATTGGTAGGGAACTGTTGTTAGTTCGGTATGAGGAAGTTTTAAAGGTGTTATTTGAAGAGATATTGGTAAAATTTTTGGAGAATGGGATAATTGTGTAATTTTTGGTGAATAGAATGTTTGAAGAATAGATTATTATTGTCTCTATAATATGTTAAAATAGGTAGATTGGTAGAGATCTATTGCTAGTTGTGTATGAGGAATTTTTAAAGTTCTTGTCTGAAGAATTGCTTGAAATTTTGGTGAATTTGGAAAGATATTGTTCAAATTTTTGGAGAATGGGATAATTGTGTAATTTTTGGTGAATAGAATGTTTGAAGAATAGATTATTATTGTCTCTAATATGTTAAAATTAGGTAGATTGGTAGAGATTTATTGCCAGTTTTGTATGAAGAATTTTTAAAGTTCTTGTCTGAAGAATTACTTGAAATTTTGGTGAATTTGGAAAGATACTGTTCAAATTTTTGGAGAATAGGACAATTGTGTAATTTTTGGTGAATTGGTAGAGATCTATTGCCAGTTTTGTATGAGGAATTACTTGAAATTTTGGTGAATTTGAATAGATATTGGTCAAATTTTGGACAATAGAATTTTTGAAGAATAAACAATCATTGTTCTAATTTCTGGTCTAATTACTGGTCTTCAATATGTCATTACAAAAGCCTCATTAACACCACTTTAAAAAACTACTTCACGAATTCGTCCCCGATCTAAAACACTCTCCACAACATCCAAAACATATTCCAAATAATTCGAGCGAGAATCGTCCCGTAGATGTTACACCCGACTTCCGCAACGGTCAAAAGCTCTCGAGCTTTCGAAATCAAAAGCTTTTCAAGCCCGCCTGTCCGTCGATAATCTGCCATAAGTGCTCTGTATATACTATTTCTAGTCATAATTCGACATGGCATAAAAAACGCCTAGCGCCGACTTCAAAGGTACCGGTGCACATGGACGTACCGTTGTTAGTATCAAAATTAAATAGATTAAAGTATTAATTGGGTAATATTTAATCTACTCACTTTGTCAGTGAAATTTTATGTCAAATAAATTTTATAAGTTAAAATTAATAATTTTAAAAACAAGTAAAGTTTAACCAAGGCTTTGAGAAATCGCGAAAAATTTTCAGACCGCGCGAGCCACTGATCTAAGACAAACAAACTGAAGAGCGACATTAATTAGATGAATATTTGGTGATTTACGACCGCGAGCCAGCTGCCGGTCCGAAATCGCGTGATCGCACAGTTGTAGAATTAATATCAACTATTGGTGAGTTGATGTTTAAAACTTAAGTGGGCCACATCAGCGCGGCTGAGCGGCTATACCGGGGCGATTCGCGCTTATTGGCAACGCGAGAGTATGGAATTCGTAGCATTCTCGGCGCTTATAACGCGATTTATTTCGCGTCCCCGGTACAACGGTCCAAATCGGATTAATATTAGAATCACTATACAAGTATATACTATCCGTTATACGTTTAGAGCGAATTGAGCAAGCGAAGTGACATGAACTGCATCAGCATCAGCATCATAATCATCATCATCATCATCATCACTCAGCCAGTCAACGGATGATATGCTGCTGTTAGACAACAAGGAAATGGGAAATGGAGAATAGCCAGTTGCCTGGGAAAGCGAACGAAATCGTGGAAAATCTGCCAAGATATGGCAGAAATGCTCCTGGACATATTCAATTCCAAACGGTACAAGATTTTTAAAAGCTAGACTTAGAAAATAAAGGCTCTCTAAAATAGAATTAGAACGTTATATGCAGTAAAATGAGAAATGTTTTACCCTTCATTACGATAATATTTACGAAAATCCCCCGGAGACAATTAAAATCCCGTCGAACAACTTCGCGAAATGAAACGAAAATGGCATAATCGTTATTCTAGTTGTGTAACGGCAACTCCGGGATTATTCGACAAACCAAGTTTGGCTGTTTACATGCAGATTTGCCTTCAAATTGGATCATTTAAATCGGAAAAATATTAAACCATCGGTCGTTTCGCGCTCATTCCATCGGAGCATCGTTAATTTTGTTAATAAAAACAACGATGCATTTCACATCGACGAATAATTTTCATAACAATTCCTGCATATACAGGATGGAGATGCCAAAACTGCAGTCGAAAACATGATAAAGTTGTTTCTTTGGTAAATAGAGAGGTTTAAAATTGACCAATTGTGACTATTGATCAAAGATTTGCTTTAAAATCGATAAAAAAATGGATCATTCGATTCGAAGCACTTTTGAAGCAATAACAAATTCTGTAGGTTTAATATTAGCACGATGAAACTTCTGAATGATCCATTTTGAAGCAATTTAGCAACTGATTTTGACAGGTTTTGTTAACCTTCAAAGTGTAAAGGAAATAGAACAATGGAGATGACAAAACTGCAGTCTAAAACAAGAAAAAGTTGTTCGTTTGGTAAATAAAGAGGTTTAAAATTGACCAATTGTGACTATTGATCAAAGATTTGCTTCCAAATCGATCATTCAGAAGTTTCATCCTGCTGATATCAAACCTACAGAATTTGTTATTGCTTCAAAAGTGCTTCGAATCGAATGATCTATTTTTTGATCGATTTTAAAGCAAATCTTTGATCAATAATTACAGCTGATTTTGACAGCTTTTGTTAACCTTAAAAGTGATATAGAATCAATAATGTCAAATTGGTGTAACTTCTCATTCACACGATTTTCCTTGATTTGAATTCCTACTGGGATTAATCAATTTTCAACCTCTTTATCTACCAAAAGAAAAACTTTATCATGTTTTCGACAGCACTTTTGTCATCTCCATTATCGTTTCCACAAGCCAATTCCCGGTGAATCCTGCGCCACCCTGGATAAAAAAAAATCCAGCTAAACCACTGGAAACCCTCTAAAAAAGAAAACCACCTGGAAAATCCAGGTAAACAAATTGATACACATCGACGACAGTTCAACGATCATTTCCACTTACCCTGCAACACGACAACGCAATCGGTATTGTTCGTGTAAGTTTCGGCTGGATATCCAGGACTGAAAAATTGGTTATTTGTGACGTTGACGAATGGCTTGCAGGCTTCGAGAACGGGCTCCTCGGGAAACAGGTTCAAAGTTACCGGGTTTTCCGGACCGGCGGCGTCCCTGGGGCGTCTGTCGCCTGGCGAAAAACCGAACATTAATTAGACTGGGGGGAAGATTTTCCCGCGGAAAGTGGAGAGAATGTGAGAATGTGAGAAGCTTTCGTTGGAAGGTGATCGGATTAGTTGTAGGTGTGATAATTGGGAAAAGTGCGGTTGGTTTGATGGAAAATTGATCGTTTTTGGAGCATCAATTTGTACTGTAAAGTGTATTTTATTAGTTTCTGTTTAAAGGAGAGCTTTCGATGGAAATTGATCGAGTTAGTTGTGTAGGTGTGATCATTGAGAAATATGCGATTGGTTTGATGTAAAATTGATCATTTTTGGAGCATCAACTTGTACTGTAAAGTGTATTTTATTAGCTTCTGTTCAAGCGAAAACTTTCGTTGGAAATTGATCAAATTAGTTATGTAGGTTTGATCATTGAGAAATATGCAATTGGTTTGATGTAAAATTGATCATTTTTGGAGCTTCAACTTGTACTATAAAGTGTATTTTATTAGTTTCTGTTTAAAGGAGAGCTTTCGCTAGAAATTGATCAAATTAGTTATGTAGGTATGATCATTGAGAAAGGTGCGCTTGGTTTAATGCAAAATTGATCGTTTTTGGAGCATCAACTTGTACTCTAAAGTATATTTTATTACCTTCCAGTTCCGTTAAAATGAAATTAGAAAAAAGGCTAATTTGAATTGGAATAGAATAACACGAAATTACAGCTATCGATCGCTCGCTCGGAATTTCCCGGTAGATTTATAATGAGGGAAAATCGTGCGTTTTTCCGCGCTTTTTCCCAGGTTAAGGGGAGTTTTTCGGGATCTCAGAAAGCATATTTCAAGCACACATTCGCCGGAATATTTCCGGAATATTCCTGAATGGGTCTTTTGTGACTAAGTGCAAATGAAATCGCGTTTCGTCGACTTTCAACTTTTAATGTAATTTTGTTGTTCGCCGAGTGGAAAATTCGTAAAAGGGACGTTAAAGGCGGAATTGATTCGGGATCGAAAGATATTTTATGTTGACCAGTGAATCATTTTTCCCCCCACACAAATTTACAGAATTTTTTACTTACTTTTATTTACTCGATTCGATAACTGGCTAGGCGATACAACATCGTTAAATAGCATCACAACTGTAACGAAAAAAAATTCGAGATTACTACAGGCATTATACTAAAAGAGTAAAATCGAATTACATAAAACATTTAAGAATTTAATTTTTTTATACCTTCTACAAGGCAGGTTCGGAACATTCCGGCCCCCAAACGATTCCGCGAAAGAAATAAAATCCCACATAAAATCCTTTTGCAAAAAAAAAGTTATATTCTTACCCCTCGGATATTAAATTATTAAAATTTACTGTCTCGCACGGCCTCCATAAATCGAAGAAATATCAACAATATAGGGAAATATCCAAGATAGCGTCAATTTTTCTGGTTTAACGTTTAACTAGAAAGTTTTATTGAAAGGTTTCCGTTGCTCGTTTTCTTTTCTACTCGTTTGTTCGTTTCCATTTTAGTTCTCTATTGTAAAGTTTGGAAAACGAGGCGCAAACAATGCAGTTTGCCAAAGTAATGAATAAGACGAAGAGCATTTTATCGCATTTTCGGAAACAGTGCTGTACGAATCTTTTTACTATACTTTTTTATGATTTACTCACTTTACTACTACAGGACTTCAATAATCATGTAATCGAGTAATATAAACTAGTAGAAAGTACTTTAAAGGAGATAGATAAGAGTCTTGAACTACTGCACTGGCTGGAGGAGCAAACAACTTAATGCCCTCTGCGTTTTTAATAGCAAAAATAGAGAACTTTTTGAGTTAGAGTTTCTTGTTTGAGACACTCCTTTTTGTTTCATTTCCATTCCGCGGTTATATCATTAGTATTAACATCGTCAATGTGCATTTAAAAGCAACATTTCGAAACTTCTTCTAATGATTTAGTAGTAGCTTCTACCCTTTGAAGGGTAGATAAAAATAATTTCTTTTCGTTTGTATTCGTTTCGTGTATTTGATATAAATTTTTTTGTTACAACACCTTCAGTTTTTCATGGAATAATAACTCGAGGGAAATCAAATAAAGCCTCCCTGCGTTTGAAAATAAGCGAGTTTTATATAATTTAAAAAACAGAACTGGGCTGTATGACCTATTTTTTTTTAATTAGAACTCACACTTTAACAAACTAAACAAAGTAATTAATCCAATTATGATGTTTTAATCCTGCAATTTTCATTTGAATATCCTATCCCGAGATTAGATTGACCCAATGCATCGAATTTTGCATTTATTTATACACAAAAAACCGCCCAAAAATAATAAACTGTAACAGTATTGTTTTTGAAAAATTATCCAGCGTTTCGCGCGATATTTTAATCCAATTCGAATAATCCTTTCGAAAGGGAAGAAATCTCTTCTGTCAGATACAAGAACCTCATATTCCATTTATTCGGTAGCTCCATGAGAGAAAAATAAAAACAAGTCTCCGGTATATCAGCTCGAGAAGGCCCATTAAATATTTCAGAGGGATTCGTAGTGGATTACTGTAATGTCTTGTTTCCTACATTCGTTTATATTTACCCTTGGGATAGTTGATGCCTTCGAATAATACACCACATCAGGATCTCAATAGATGTACTCTGTATAGTCTCTAGTATTTCCGATGATTATATTTTGAAAAAAAACGGGTAATTTAATTTCAAAATGTATCAAATAGATAACAGAAAGCTGGTATCGTCTATAATATCGATAATTTTATCTAATGGGATTGTTTAAACGAATGTTAATCTAATTTAACACCTCGTAATGGTTTGTATAAATCTGATTATAAAACAGGAGCTTATTTTTCCTATTTAAACCAGAAGTTTTGGGTTTATTTAGACCTTTATCTAACCATATTTCGGTCACGTCCTTTTACCGAGAACCCCAATTTAAATTAATGAACCGAAAATAGACTTACTGATACCCAAAAACGGGTGAAATTTTGTATTTCGTTGGGTCAATTAACAATGGGAGCTCATCAACTTTTAGACGAAGATAAATTGTACACTATAAGGTTTCAATAGCGCAAATTTTATTTAATATTTTTCGTTGTACATCGATTTAATATAATATTAGAGCTGTACATCAATTATTTTAGAGCGCGCTTTTGTTGCCTATGTAATTTAATAATAGCGAATCTATTACATCGTTTGGATTCAATATTGTATTTCATTAAGTATTTGTTACTTCGATGAATGAAAATGCTGGTGTTATTTGATAGATATTTTTATTAGTAAATTTAATAAAAGCTGAAAGAAAGCGGCTGGTTTTTCTCAAAATTCCATTTACCGCGGATTTGTAAGGAAGCCACTAAACGAAAATCCGGATAAGAAGTGTCTGTCTCTCCTCGGGACAAACGCATCATAAAAACAACCCAAAGTATATAATAAACATAACTGGCCTCTACAGAGGATATAAAGTTTCCAGCAGGAGTTTCCAGCAGGATGTCGAGAATATTGCAGACCGCAATTTCAAATGAAAATCTCTAAATATGGCCTGTGCAGGTCTAAATCAGTGGTGGATTTCACGCAAATTTCCTCGGGTAAAATTGTTATAACGTTTCGGTTTAATTACTGAAACAGTTTCGAGTTATTTTTGTGGATTTTAACCCTTTGAAAAAACGAATTTATACTAAAACAAAAACTATTATTGCTTAACTGTTTTTTGGTGGATGGTGTAAGGCACTAAATTAGTCTTCTCTAAAATATATAGCCCTCGAAACACCGCCCTTCCAGTCACTGGTTAATTCGGAGTTGAGGAGTTTGTCTTGTATAGAAATTACACCCCAAAGATTGCTTCTGAAACTATTGTTTGAGCTGACGAAGAGTTTAAATTATACAAGCAAACAAAAATCGAATATTAAACGAATTCATTTCAACATATATCGGTGGCTGAAATGCCCACAATATGGCTAAATAAAGGGAATTCTCCAACAATTATCGGATGATAATAGTAATGTGGATAATGGAAAGGTTGGGCTCGCATGCCAAAGTCAATAGTCCGTGGAATATTGTTTATAGTGCTTATATGATTAATATAAAATTCTCCGGCGATTATGCAAGCTTCAATTTAATCGAAAGCCCCAATCATGCGGAAACCCAAAGGTAATTATTACTAAAATATAATCGTGTGTGCTTCACATAAAAGCAATTTTATAAATGTAACCGAAGAATACCAATTGGTGAAGTGTAATTAGTCCATATTTATAAAAATGAAGCATTTACTTTGAAGTAAAATGTAGAAGAAAAAGGTTTTAATCAGCAGGGTCATCCTCGAAGCAAAACCTCTCTTCCTTCACTTCTTTTTAAGCATACATTCGAAGCAATTCCTTCATTTTTTAAAGCAAAATGTTATGCTTCAAATGCTACTTGTATCATTCAATAATCGTGTGTGCTTCACATAAAATCAATTTTCTAAATGTAACAGAAGAATACCAATTGGTGAAGTGTAATTAGTCCATATTTATAAAAATGAAGCATTTACTTTGAAGTAAAATGTAGAAGGAAAAGGCTTTAATACCATAAAATCTATCGCTTTCATCCTCGAAGCAAAACCTCTCTTCCTTCACTTCTTTTTAAGCATACATTCGAAGCAATTCCTTCATTTTTTGAAGCAAAATGTTATGCTTCAAATGCTACTTGTATCATTCAATAATCGTGTGTGCTTCACATAAAATCAATTTTCTAAATGTAACAGAAGAATACCAATTGGTGAAGTGTAATTAGTCCATATTTATAAAAATGAAGCATTTACTTTGAAGTAAAATGTAGAAGGAAAAGACTTTAACACCATAAAATCTATTGCTTTCATCCTCGAAGCAAAACCTCTCTTCCTTCACTTCTTTTTAAGCATACATTCGAAGCAATTCCTGCATTTTTTGAAGCAAAAGGTGTACCATTTGTATCGTTCAATACATCTTAGCAGCTTTATATCTACCTTATATGTACTAAAAACGCTGACCTAATAAGACCCTTATCTCTTGGAGATATATTTTAGCGCCCTTATATATAAGTTTAGCGATTTCTTGACCGCCGTATTTTAGCCGATATCTGGTTCGATCTAAAATTCAGCAGGAAAATGTGTCCCGTTTTGACTAATGGTCCGATATACCAGCCCTTGGGCCCTTGCACTTTTAGGGTCCCAATACAGGGGCGTTACTCCGATATATTTTTAGGAAGATTTATTGGAAATGGCGATTACAATGAGCTTTTAAAGAGTAAAATATAAGCATCAGGAAGAAGGAAATTATTGGAATTGAGGTGCTTGGATTAGGCCAGTGTATTGTTTTGTTGTGGAATTATAATAAAATGTTTAGTGACTTTCTTATACAGGGTGTGTTCTATAAAAATCGCCAAACTTTAGGTGGTGAAAAACACAAAAAAAATTAAAATAATGATTAAATAACAGAGAAACTATCGACTTTTCAAAAAAGTGTTATAGAACATTTTTTGTTCGAAATAACTTATATAATCACCTCCTAAAGTTTGGCGGTTTTTTATAGTACACACCCTGTATAAACGGCGAATTTAAAAACCCATGCATTATAAAATAATTAATTCCTCGATCCTAATTCTTGGAGGATTTTCACGTAGATCGCCATCTAGTTATTATATCGAATAAACCGGGACGTGATTTTCCCAGAGCGAAACTTCTAATCCAGATAAAGAGTCAAACATTCGCGATGTTTGAGCAAAATATCTACATACTCAAAAGGGCGTTATCTCGAATACAAATGGACGGAAAATGAGCAATAAAATTAGTATATTTTTCGCTTGAATACAAGATCTAAATAGCAACAAGTGTTTAATTTTGTTGCTAGAGGAAAATCGAAGAATGAAAACAATTTATATGCTACATAAATTTCCAGAAAAAGGTCCTTCTATAACTTCTAATATTACCACTGTTTACAAGCGACTCTCTTTTAGCTGCTTCTTTATGTTTACTCTATAAATTCGATATTGGTATTTTATATTTTTTTTTGGATTTTTGATACTTTAATATGTGTATACAATTTAATGTTAGATATCTACTTGACGCTTTATTTTATAATCAGTTATTTCTCCAAATTAAATATAAAAGTAAAAACTCATT